TTTCCTCTAGTTCTATGATTCTTTTCCTTCCCTACCTCCTGCCTCCCTCCCAGAAGGGACTTTTGGACCCAGACTCTGTCCCTGCTGAGCTTAGCATCCAGTTTTCACCTAAATGGTGAGAGGTAGCAGTGGAAAGAGCTGTGGAATCTACATATCTAGCAAGGCCAGGGAAGTTTTCCTTGATGATTCCCTGAAATATGTTTTTGAAACGTTTAGATTTCTCTTCTTACTCAGGAACACCAATTATTCTTAGGTTTGTTCGTTTAACATAATTCCAAATTTCTTGGAGGCTTTGTTCATATTTAAAAAACCTTTTTTCTTTGTCTTGGATTGAGTTAACTAGAAAGCCTTGTCTTTGAGCTCTGAACTTCTTTCTTCTACTTATTCAATTCTATTGCTGAGACTTTCCAGTGTATTTTGCATTTGTCTAAGTGTGTCCTTCATTTCCAGAAGTTGTGATTGGTTTTTATTTATGCTATTTATTTCACTGTTGATTTTTCCATTCATATCCTGTACCATTGTGCATCGTTGATTAGTTTAATAGTCAACCTTCTGAATTCTTTTTCTGGCAATTCAGAGATTTCTTCTTGGTTTGGATTCATTGCTAGTGAGCTAGTGTGGTCTTCTGGGGATATGAAAGAATCTTGTTTTGTCATCTTCTAAGAACTGCTCTTCTGCTTCCTTCTTATTTGGGTAGACTATGTCAGAGGGAAGATCTGAGGCTCAAGGACTGCTGTTCAGATTCTTTTGTCCCATGGGGTGCTTCTTTGATGTGATACTTTCCCCTTTCCCTTAGTGATGTGGCTTTCTGAGAGCCGAACTGCAGTGATTGTTATTTTTCTCCTGGAGCTAGCCACCCAGCAGAGTTATTGGGCTCTGGGCTGGTACTGGAGAGTGCCTGCACAGAGTGCTGTGATGTGAACTGTCTTTAGGTCTCTCAGCCATGGGTACGAGCATCTGCTCTGGTAGAGGTGGCAGGGAGTGAAGTGGACTCTGTGAGGGCCCTGGGTTTTAGTCTTGTTTATTGTGATAGTTTTGTGTTGATTGACCTTCAGCCAGGAGGTGGCGCTTTCAAGAGAGCATCATCTGTGGTAGTATAGGGAGGATCAGTTGGTGGGAGGAGCAGTAGAGCTCCCAAGAGATTATGCCCTTTGTCTTTGGGTACCAAGGTGAGTAGAGAAAAACTATCAGGTGGGGGCAGCGTTAGGTCTGACCTTAGACTCTCCTTGGGTGAGGCTTGCTGCAGCAGCTGTGGGGGATGGGAGTGTGGTTCTCAGGCCAATGGAATTATGTTCTCAGGGGTATATGGCTACCTCTGCTGTGTCATATAGTTTACCAAGGAAGCGGCGGAAAGCTATAATTACAGGCCTCACTCAGCTCCCATGCAGCCCAAAAGGCCCATCTCATTCCTATTATGCTTCACCAATGGCACTGAGTTTATTTCCAGGCAGGAGGTGAGCAGGACTGAGAACTTGCCCCAGGTTACCAGCCTCCTGGCTGAGAAAGCAAGCAGGGCTTTTAGGTTTCACACTTCCTCACCTGTTGTAGCTTCTGTGCTGTGTCTGTACTCCTGATCTGCCTCCTCTCCCAGGGTCTGTCCAGGAAACTTCACGTTCAGTCAAAATCATTACAAAGTTCGGCTGGAAATTGCCTTCTTTCTGTGGTCTTTTCCCAGTTCCTCTGTCAGCCCTTTCTAGGGACCCCTGTGAGACAAAGTCAGAAATCGCTTCCATGGGAACTGACAGTGCCCACGGGGCTCTTCACACTGCTTCTTCTACCCCTGTATTTCATTCAGCCCTCTAAATTCGTCTGAGCTTCAGGTAAGGTCACATCCTACTCCTATGATCTGGACTTTCAGTTTTCCCAGTGAGGGCGTGTGTTCATGGGCAGATGATTCCCCTTTCACATTTTAGATACTTAAACAGTTTTTTGAGTGTTTCCTGGGGCCGGCAGCAGCAATCTGCTGCCTTCAGAGGGTCTGGGGATTCTGTCAGCTTTCCAGGTGTTTTCCTGCACTAGTTCTTGGAGCAAAAGTTCATGATGTGAGTCTCCACATCCTACTCTATCTGTCCGAGTAGGAGCTGCAAGTTACTCCTGCTTCCTATTTGCCATTTTTTTCCCCAGCTGGTGTATATTAACTTTTAAAAATTAGTGAAACATACAGAACATAAAATTGGCCACTTTAACACATTTTAATTGTACAGTTCCATGGTATTAATTACATTCACAATGTTTTACAATCATCGTCACTACCTATTTTCAAAACGTTTTCATCATTCTAAGAGGAACACTGTAACCTTTAAGAAATTACTCTGCCTTCCCTCAGTACCAAGTAATCTCTAATCTATTTTCTGTCTTTATGTTTGCTTATTCTACTACCTGTAAGTGGAATAATACAATATTTTTCCTTTTATGTCTGGCTAATTTCACTTAGCATACTGTTACAGTGATCATTCCTGCTGTAGCATGTATCAGAAATTCATTCCTTTTTATGATGGAATGATATTCCCTTGTATGTATATACCACATTTTGTGTACCCATTCATCTGCTGGTGGACCCTTGCTATCTTTCTGCCTTATAACTATAGCCAATAACGCTGCCACAGCTTGCAAGTATCTATTCAAGTCATGGCTTTCAAGTCCTTTGGTTATATACTCAGGAATGGAATTGCTGGATCCTATGGTAATTGTGTTTTTGTCTTTTAGAGGAACCACTAATCTGTTTTTCAAATTGGCTATCCCAATTTACATTCACCAGCAATTCATAAGACTTCTAATTTCCCCATATTCTGTCCAGCATTTTGTTATTTTCTGTTAAAAAACAATTGTAGATTTCCTAAAGGGTGTGAAGTGGTATTTCATTGCGGTTTTGATTTGCATTTCTTAATGACTAATGAAGTTGAGCATCTTTCCAGGTTCTTGCTGACATTTTGCATATCTTCTTTGCAGAAGTGTCTATTGAATTCCTTTGGTGATTTTTGAATGAGGTTTTGTATTTTGATATTGAGTGTTGGAGTTCATTATATATTCTCATTTGATTTGTGAATATATTCTCCCACTCTGTGGGCTGTCTTTCAATCCTTCTATCCACTTTTTAAACTTTGTATATGATGTAGTTCCCCCTCCTTACCCACCTTCCTTATTTCTTTGGTCACTCTGAGGTCTCCACTTCTCCTGTTGCAATAAGACTTTCCCTTATACGATTCACCTTCCTCTTTTCACTCAAGTACTAGGAGGCATAATGGGAATGAGTGCTCACTGTCCTGTGCTCTCTGAGCATGGGCAGCCTGAGCCCTTGTGTACCACCTAATGCCAGGGAACCTCTGCTGACCATTAGGTCCAGGATATTCTTGGCCCACTTTCCTGCCCCAATCCTCCCTTTTCCCTCCACTCCTGCCCTTTCACTCACTGTCTGGCCTGCGATTTTCCTGTCCCTTCTCAGAGGAGGGCTGAATTATTCTAGTAATGTGAGAGTCCAGGGGACTCTGAGAGAGGTGCTGGCTGCAAGCACCAAATGGAAGAGAAGCCCCTTCATTGTAGCAGAATGAGGTATTAGACCTTAGGCAGAGAAAGTCTGTCTATGGGCTAGGAATGGACAATAAGTGGGAGGAATACCTGGGATCAGATCCAGGAAAAGAAGCAAGGTCTGAGCTGAGAGAGGTTGGTATAATCAGGGATACCAGCCCAGTGAAATTGGGAGGATGCATGGGGACCAGGTGTTGGAACAGGGCTCAGGGTCAGGAACACTAGCATCCAAGCCATCAGCAAGTGTGGACAGGGTTGAGCATGCTCCTGCTCCATCAAGGTGGCCAGCCAGAGAGGCAGGTGACCACCATGAAGCTGTGCCGTGGGGGAGGAGCTGCTTGGAGTCTGACATCCTCTCCTACCAGCTAGACCCATTTGTCTACCTTGGTTCCTCCCAGCCCTTGCTGGACAATTGCCTACTCCATGAGTTTCCTGAGGAGCCTGCAGGCCCTATGTGAGAGGAAGGCTGACAGGTGCCCAGTGACATAGCTAGGCAGACCTCCTTTTCGTATCTCATTTGGGCTGAGAAGAGCTGGATCCCTAAAGTCCTCATGCAAGACCAGGTTTGTGAGGCTTTCCTGATCAGCTCACTGCAGCCCTGGTACGGCTGAGATGTGGTGTGTCTTTGACCAAACTCCTGATGGAAACTTCATTCCCAATGTGGCAGTGTTTGGAGCTGGGTGTTTCTGGGAGGTGTTTAGATTGTGTGGATGGATCTTTCCTGAATACATTAGTGCCCCCATCCTACCCTGCAAGCATGAACAAGTTCTTCTCATCAGTGGAATGAGGAGGTTCCCAAGAGGGGAGGTTCTCAAAGAGAAGGGCTTCCTCAGTCTCTCTCTTGCTTTCTCCTTTTCCATGTGATCTCTGCATGTGGTCACTCCCCTTTCGCTTTCTGCCAAGAGTGGAAGCAGCCCGAGGCCTTTACCAAACTGCCAACTTCACCAGTCTGCCAAAACGTGGGCATTCCAGGCAACAGAATTTTGTGGCAAAGAAACCTCTTTTTGTTATATATTACCCAACCTCAGGTATTGTTATAGCAAAAAAACACAAAACACACCAAGACAGATTGTTAGCTCAGTTCTACTCTGATTCATCTAGTAAAAGAAAAGCTAAATGTTACTGGAATGGAGGCCTAGTATTTTTCCCCTAAAGGAGGTGTGGGCTTCTTCCTCTGATCCCCTAGATAAAAGGCCTTTGTTGAAATTCAGCTACCGTGCTAGCCTCAGGAGCTGGTGAGAGTGTGGGCATCAGAGTTCACATGAAGTGAGACTGTGTGTAAGGGGTGGGTCAAGTCTGGCCCTGCTGGGATCTGGTACCAAAGAGCAGGCCTCTTGTCCCTAATCAGAAGGGACTTGTCACCTCTCTGTTTGCTCCCCCTTGGCGTCTCCTCTCTTTCTTTTATTGGCTTCCATGGACAGCCACACACAACATGCAAACTTGTGAACCTTATTCTGGGGAGGAGGGAAGACAGAGGGAATGTCTGAATGACATCACACAGGTAGGTACCAAACAGGAGAGATTTAGATGGACAGATGTGGTGACAATCAGGTAGGGCCTGTGATAGGCTGAACCATGGGTCTCCACGATGTCTACATCCTAATCCATGGCTCCATGATTATGGGACCATATGTGTTAAAATGGACCTTGAAGATGTAAGTGATGGATCTTGAGGTGGTGATATTCTCCTGGATTATTTGAATGAGTTTGATATAACCACAAGGAACTTTATAAGAGGGAAAGAGATGTGAAGACAGTAATAGAGATTTAAAGATGCTGTTGGCTTTCAAGAGAGAGGGGAGGCCAGTACCAAGGAATGCAACAAATAAAGCTCTGGAGCTGGAAGGCAAAGGGGCAGGGCTCTCTCCCTGAGAGCTTCTGGAGGGGTTTGGCCCTGTTCAGAACTTGTTTTATACCCAGTGAAACCCATTTCTGACTTTGATCTCCAGAACTATAAGAGAATAAAAAGTTGTTATTGAAAACCACTGAGGTTGTGGTAGTTTATTACAGCAGCAATAGGAAACTAACATAGGAACAGACAAGCAGACAGGAGGAAGAAGACAAGTGTATGGGCAGACAGGCTGGAGGGCAGGCAGGAGCTTGGGAGCTGGGCGGAGATTCAGGGATGCAGGTGGATAGGAGACAGGTAGATAAGAAGGTAGGGAGCCTGGAGAAAGGTGAGAGAGAGGAAGGCAGGCTGACTTTATGGCAGGTTGACAGATAGAGACCAAGATACAGGCAGACACGCAGGGGACAGAAGCAGGGGTCAGGGAGACAGGATGGCAGGTAAAGTTTCTCAGAGCTGGTCCTTGTCTCCACAGGGTTTAGGGAGCCTCTTGAGATGCAGGTGGATCCCACTGCTGGATTTCAACACAATTCGTGGTGTGGGGATGGGGATCCTGGTGGGATCAGGCAGCAGCTCAAAGCGGAGTAGGGTCAGGGCCGTGGCCACCTTCAGCTCGTTCATGGCAAATTGTTTCCCGATGCAGTTCCTAGGCCAGGCAGAGACAATAATTGAGAAGTGACCTCAGGCCCCATTCTGATCTGAGTAGGTTTTGGCCCCTGACCCCAGCCATGAGCTGGGCATTCAGTGTCCAACTTTATGTGTCCAGCCCTTGCACACTTACAGCCCATGCACACTTCTACCTCATCCCAGCTTCACACTCTCCCCAGCCTTGGACAGAGCCATCTTCCTGGGCTAGCTCCTAACTCCTACCTCCCATCTCTGCTCTCAGCAGGCCTGAAACCCTCTAGCAAGAGAGAGCCTGGTCTCTAAGGCACAGAGTCTAATCACAGGAATAGATAAAGTGTTAATCAATGGTTTGTTCACTCCTCCACAAACATTTCTTGTTCTCCAGTGTGGAGGCCACTTCAGGTCCTATAGGGTGAGGGTGGGCCACACTCTCAGGTGCTTCCTATGTAGTGGGACATACAGGGACCTGAATCCTCATAGGGGGCCCCAATGCGTGGAGGAAAGGAGTCAGAAGGGCAGTGGGCGGCTTCCTGGAGGGGCACTGGGTGGGTGGCCCTAGCTGTTGTCCCGCCTGCCTCCCACTTCAGGGTTCAGGGTTCAGTGTCTAACCTCACTCCTCCATCCACCAGCCCCTGTAGCCTTCTAATTCTACTCCGGAAACCTTTTTCCTTGCCCTTCCTCAGTCTACTTAGCTGGACTTTCTGGATTTCTGCTTCCCCTTCGTGCACACTGAAGCCACAGCCCAGCTCAGACCCTCCCATGATCTTCATCACAGTGGGGACAGTGTTCCAATACCCCAGCTGGCAGCCAAGCCCTCCATGGGCTGGTGCCTCACCCACATTTTACCTGTCCAGCCCACGTCCTAGCCGTGATCATGTACAGATGGCTGAGAATTTCCTCCCTTCACCTCTGCCTGCCACATTCTCAAGGCTAAGGCCACAGCCCAACTGCCTCTCACCCCCTGCCAGTTGTGCCTTTCCCTCCCAGGTCCCCAGGCAGCATTTGTGATGTATCCACGGACACTCACAGTCCAGTGCCTCAGACAGCACCAGGGACAGGGGCACTGAATAAGCCACTCAGTGAGTGAAGGGGTGAAAGGATGGATGATGGAGTGATACGTGACTAGAGCACAGGATGTATTTCCATACAACACAGTTTTGTATATTTTGTCTCTGTTTTCTCATCACGTTGCATAGGACTTGCCTCACAGAGGTAGGTTTAATAAATACTTTCATATTTGAATAATGTTATTTAAGTTTTAAAATGAATAAAATAGAATGGAATACACTGACAGTAGATATTAGTTCCCAGCTAGAAATGGAGCTTAGGAATGCTCTCTGGTTCTCTAGTGGCAGCAACATGAGCTGCAGGCAATGTTTAGGACTTTCTTATGCTGAAATAGACCAGTGCTGGAGAAGGAGTTTCAGGAGGAAGCTTTTTCTTAAAACTTCTTCTGTGTAAGTGGTCTCATCATTTGAAGAAGTCATATAATTATCTGAAGAAGTCACATGATTATTTCTTTGAACAAACCTTATTTCTACTAAGAATTTATATTATTTTTGACTGTATGTCAAAGGGTGATTCCTGAAGCAATGATAATTTTCACAGCAGCCATTCTGGAATTTTCCTCTCCAGCTCAACAGCTGTTTCAGGTGTGTTTTATATTTCACATACCAGGAAGCTTCAAATGTTGTGCATTACATAATAGTTATTGGGCTTTTCTTTCCCAAACAGTGTACCATCCACATTTTTATGCTTTTTGCCAATATTGTGCTAAGTGGATTACTGGACTATGATATAGAGATCCCAATGCATGTGTAGAATTTGCCAAATGGGGAAATAGTTGTAAATATGTGAACACTATATAATACAGTAAAAATTTCACTGGGCAAGACAGAAAAATGTATGATATGACACATGTTGTTGTAAAACTTTTTCAAAGGGCTACATTAACCTTTACCTTATATGGCTTGAAAGGTAGGACTTGAAGGTCGTCTGTATTATAAACAGATGCAAAGATTTCAATGATTCAACTCTATGGCAGACCGGTGAATTAAATAGGGAAGGTAGTGTGCTGCATTGGGGTGTGTGGGGAGAGAGAAATCTACTGTTTACTATTCCTGATAACTGAGAAAAGCAAACACGTGAAGTTGAATTTACTGGAGAATATCTAATTTTGATAATTCACATCCCTAAAGTGAGGAAAATACGTGAATATACTGAAGTTTGGAACATGCACTGACACTGAATTTAGGCTGCTCATTTGAAGAAGCAGAGGGAGCAAAGTCTCCACAGGGTGCTCTGAAATGCATCTTCCTTTTGTACACGGAGACACCCACACCAGGTGCTTGACTTTCCCACAAATACCAACAATTAAGGGCACATCTGAAGATGCCACATATAAACATTGGGCTCACAAAGATCAGAGGTTTGACCAGAGACTTCCCTGATTTCTCTATTCCAATGACCACACAGGATGTCTCACCTTGCTCCTGCTGAGAAGGGTAGGAAAGCATGGCTGTGTTGAGCAGAACCCGGTGTAAAACGGGAAGGGTCAAATACCTGCAGAGAGAGCACCAGCGCCAGGACAGTTCAGGATCCGGCCCCTGCTTGCCACCCATGAGGGAACAGGACTCCCAGATGGGGACTCCTCTCCAGGTGGAAGCAGGAGAAGGTGTTGGTCTTGATAAATCACCCCATTTCCTCCTCTCAGGGACCACATACCTCTGGGTTGGGCCACACTTTGGGATTGTGGTGAAGGCCATAAATGGAAAGTACGACGCTGATACCTGTGGTGCAGGTTGGAAATAGAGAGAAGACCGATCACTCGCATGGGGTGGCCTGGTCCTTCAGCCAGCAGGGGCAAAAGAAGGCACAGAAGGCCTACTTTCCATGAATTGTCACTTTGACTGGGATGATTCTGCCATTATGCAGGTGGGTTAGGCTTGACTAAGCATGTGAGTTCAGATGATGAATAGAGAACCATTTATCCAGGAATGACAAGAAAGAAAGAATGGGAGCATTACTCTTTGGAGTAAGTCAAGTGGCATTTAACATTCATCAAATATCATCCAAGGGTCATTGGAAAACATACATGAACTCACTCAATACTCACAACAACACTCCAAGAAAGACATTCTTTTATTCTGTTTTTAGGGGAGGTACTTGAGTCTCAGAAAGGCTGATTATCTTGTCTGTGTTCACACAACTAGGCTATGATAGGACTGGGACCAGACCTGGGCAGTTGAGCCTTCGTGGCCCCAGATCTGGTCATCAGCTGCTCTCTGCCATCAACCTGAGGGTTCCTCAGAGACTGAACAACAGCTGACCCATAAAATGAGATTCCTGATCAGCCTCCTTTGTGCTGACCCCATGAGAAAAGAAACATATCCCTCTTTGCCCTTGTCTGATTCTCTTTTCAGCCCTCCACATCTCAAGGAATAGAATTTTAGGTTTACTGTGAAGGCTATATTCACAGATTAACTTTTATTTCTTAAACTTTTGGTAGGTTCAAGCTCTCTGCCAGACATTTCAAATCCTTTATTCTAAATCCAAAATATCTTTTCAAATTTTTAAAAGAAAAGGGAGACCCAGAGATGTGCAGGACTCTGAAGCTCACATGGATTTCTGACCCTCCACATGTCCCTGTGGAGAGCTTATGTGAGTGGGTGGCAGAATTCATACCTTTGGGCAAGGAGCGCCCATCAGGGAAGGTGATGGGAGTGCTGAGGTCTCTGCTAATGCCTGGCACTGGTGGGTAGAGTCTAAGTGCCTCCTTGATGCACATGGTGGTATAGGGCATCTGGTCCAGGTGGTGCCTGAAACAAGCCCATCCTGAACATGAGCAAGGCCAGGGCAGACCAGGGACTTCCCCTGCAGAGAAGGCAGGGAACCCCATCTCTTGATTCCTCACTCACCAGGTGATGGAGGCTCCATCCCCCAAGAGGCCCTGGATCTCCTCCCGGCACCTCCGCTGATGCTTGGGGTGTGTGGCCAGAGCATAGAGGATCCAGGAGATACCACTGGCTGTGGTGTCGTGGCCCGCGAACATGAACGTGTTCACCTCAGCACGGAGATCCTTGTCTGACAAGCTGTTCCCATTCTCCATCTGGGGATGCCATGGTGAAAGTACAGGGCTGGTGTCTTCTCTTTACTTCTGGGCAAAACTGAGGCCTCTCCTAAACATACTCACTTTGGCCAAGAGGAGGATATCCAGCAAATCCAAGTGCCTCTTCTTCTCGACCTTCTCCAGCTCCCCCTGCTCCTGCAGGCGAGCCTTCCTCTCTTGGATCACTCGGTCTGTCCCAGAGCAATGGTTACCAGGCCCAGCTGAGACCGTCAGCAGCCCCCAGGAGGCCTAGCTGCTCAACTGCCCCCATGTGGGTGCCTGGTAGATCTCAGCGGGAATGTGGGTGTGGGTGAGAGGTCAGGGGTGGAAACTCTAGTACTGTGTGAGGCAGGGCAGGTCTCCCCCAAGTGGCACAGCTCACGGAGCATCCACTTGAATGCTGTTTGGACAGGGTCTCATTCCGTTATCTCCATGTGGGGACATAGGCAAACCAAGGGACAGAATCTGGCCCCTCATATCTCAGTTCGCAACCCCTGATGAGGGAATTCCCCAGGCTGAGTGTATTCTTGCTTCTGGAGGGCTACTAGGGGGACTTCTCTGTCTGAGGAGTCAGGGCAGTTTTTTTCGCTGTGCTTGATAAAGGCTGGGAGACAAGAGGAGGAGACAGAACCTGTGTGCTGATGGGCGAGCTGGCAGGCGCGGTGTGACCAGCGGCCAGCAGTGGTCAGGCTGTAGATGGTGTCATTCTGGTGAAAGGCATTCCTCACACGGGAAAAAAACAGGTTGTTCATGTCCATAATGGCCTGGATGTAGGACTGAGAATCCCTGAGGGAGAGTATGAAGAAGAGACTGAGTAATGGGCCCATTACTTGGAGGTAGATTGGGGTCTGATAGTAGACAGCCTCAAGTAATTGGGACAAGGAGCCTTGAGACAATGTTTCTTCTGTCTTACAGCCCTATTGTCCTCTGGCCTTTATCAGTTGGCATGAACAACCAGGGTCCACTTGTGCTAAGAATTAAGCATCTGTTCCTGAGACTTTGGTCTGGATTGGAATTAGATCTTGGTCAGGGACTGAATCTACCTTTATGTGGAGGTGAGCCTTCATGCTGCCCCACCTGCCCCTCATGTACGTCCACTTGATAAGAACAAGGACCCTGCAGCGGGAAGGTTATCACTGACCTGTCCAACTGAATGCTGCCCTGGTGGCTGAAGGCACACTTCATGATGGTGTCCAGGGTCATCAAGGAGACATGCTGAAAGACCTCCAGAGGGGAGTCCTGGCCAATGAGCTCTTCCCATTTGTCCTGTGGTGGGAGGGGGCATGGATCTTCTTAATCTCCAACAAGTGCTTTGCTAATAATGCCTGGCTTTTTCCTGTATCTGCAGATATCTTTTTTTTTTTTTCCTGTAGCTTGCAGATATCTTGGTTGGGATTCCTCACTTTACAGAGCAGATGTATCATAGAAACTGGGACTGTAGAGCTACTGTTGGTAAACTGATGCCTAATTCTCATACACCTTTAATACAACATTAAACAGATCCTCTCACAATAGCATGAATTAAATATCGAATTTTGAAATTCAGTTAGGACACACAGTTGTGAAAATGTTGTTGCTGTTGTTCTGGTATAAATAACAGGGGGGCCCTTCAGTGTTCTGAGAGCTGAGCTAGTTCTGAGGGACTAGTAGGACACCAACCTTAGGGCAGAAAGTTCGGATGCCAAAGATAGCTTAAGAGGCTAATATGGGCACCCTTTGTAGAGAAAAGAGGGACTTCAGTTCTTTTCCATTCATCAAAATTTGCTGGACACAGTTAGGTGAGAAGTCAGAGTCCAGATCAGAGATGATGCCATGGCAGGTATTGCTCTGAGAACAGACCAGGTGTTCGTTTCCACTCAAGGGTGGATCAAATCCATGCAGAAACCTGGGGACCCAGGCCAGAGCCTGCATGGGTGACATCTTGTCCTGTCCATGCTGCCACTGAAGCTGCCATTGCTCAGGCCAACCAGCATAGGAAGTTTTACTGTCCAACAAGACTGCATACTTTTCCATTCCCTTGTGCTGTAGGTTCCAAAGTGGGAGGAGAAGAGCCTTGTATTCACCATGAATCTCTTTTCCTATGATGGTAAACAAAGTGTGGATCCGATCTGATGCCTGTGTGTTCTCCTACCTTATACAACTCTGGGGAACTTTACTCTCACAGCGATGACCTAAGAGTATTGTTACATGTGTCTATGTCTATGGCTGTCTGTGGAACACAGAGTTGTGAGTGGAACTGGTGACAGTGTGTGCTGTGAGTGGGTGTGGGGAGAGGAGAGAGACATGGACTCACCAGCATCACTCTCACAGAGTCTGCCATGAACTCCACGTAGGGCTTCAGGATGTCATAGTGGAAGGCTGGGGTCAGCATCCGTCGATGCTGGAACCATGTCTGGCCATTCAACACGACCAAGCCGTACCCTAAGGTAGACATGAGTGTGTGTCTGTGTGTGTGTCAGAGGCCGCACAAACCTAGGGATGACTGGTGACCATTTGGGAGGGAGAAAGGTGGCTTCTTAGGGGAAGAAATAGCCAGAAGAAGCCACATCATGGGCAAATGCAGGAAAAGGAGGTATATTTCAGGCATATGAATTTTCTAATTGAGCTGCTATATCCATGTGATTATGACAGCTGTGAGATAAAGGTTGAAAAGTGTTGTGGGCAGATATAAAATAAATGTGAGGCCAAGGATGTCTGGAGAGAAGGGAGAAGTGAAATGGAAGAAGCTGAGCCTGAGGAAGGTTTGCACCAACATTAGGAAAGGATGAGAATCTTGTTTGAAGAAGGAAATGAGGCTTGAATGGGGTATGGGGTCATGATAGTGGTGGCCCCTAATCTGTTGTTCTTGGTGAGCCAAAGAGATAAACTTAACTAGGAAGTGGGATGCAGTCCTTGTTTGCTATACATACCAATCAAGGGAGGCAGGAATCTGGTAACACTATAAGATTTCGGGTCTGAAAGATAAGAAAGGACTTTATGAGAAACTATGAGATACTAGGCAAGGCAGTCCCAGAGGCAGCTATCAGTTCTTAGTGTCTGTCAGGTGGCAGTTTGACCCATGTCACCTCCCACTTGACTCCCATCCCCTTCCATTTCTGTCCTGAAGGTCAGTATGGGCTTAGGAAGACACACTCAGTGTTCTGTTCCAGCATGAAAACACACAGAGGGCTAGAAAGGTGAGTTGGAGAGAAACATGGCCTGGGTCTTCAGTGATGATGAATAATACGGAGCCATGAGTTTTTCTACATTGATGATTTCCTAGTCACCTTCTGACCAGGACAGGCAACAATTAGAGCTTCCAAATGCAAGTCAATGTGGGTATGAAATTTGTTTTACAGATCTGGGTCAATTTATATTTCAGAAAACCTCAATTTTCTTAATAGAGAAATAGATAAAAGAATTGAAAATTAAGCCCCACATATTGTTTTAAACATTCATTACTCAGTACATATTTTTGACTACAGCCTGGGCTTGGCTTGGTGGGCTTGGTGGATGGTTGGGAAAGGTTTCAGATATCGATGTTTGAACAGCCACTCTCTTCTGGAATTTTACAGACCAAGAGACATGTGTCAAGAGGGAAGAGACATTGCAGTTGGGATGAGGGTTTGGATCTTACCTGATCTCCCCAGAATCACCTTTATATAGTCAGGGTCATAGAGCTGCACACGAACTTTGCTTCCCCATAGCCAATGAGGACAGGCACTTGGGAATGTCTCCACCCATTTCCGAATCCGTTGTAGCTCCTGGTCCTGTGAATACTGTCAACAAAGGTAGACAGAAGAACGCTTTCATTTAGTTCTAGTCTCTGCAGCAGGAGTGAAGGGCAGGGCAATCACAGGAGCCAGGTAGCAGAGGTTAGGGATTTAGGTCTGCTTCTGATGACCTGGGCTGTGATCCAGATTCTTTCTCTCTCCCCAGTACTTGACTTTAGGCCAAGAGCTATGAGCCCTCACTCAATACTTCCAGCAGAAATTTAAGTCAGCCATTGTCTTCATGTTGTGTAAAGCCTCTGGAAGTAATAAATACAATAATTTCCATGGGCAGTAGGTATAACTCATATCACTTGATAAGCAAATTTATATAATAATTTAGTATAGTTAGAGAATAAAATGAATTAATGTAAACATTTTAAATTACATAATAATTTTATAAATCATGCTTGTTATATTTTCAATATTATCTCAGTATATATGGTAAGATATTTTTGTTAAGAGAAAATAGCATTTGGGCAAGGTGGTGGAATAGGAACAGCTCTGGTTCACAGTCTCCAGCGAGAGCAATGCAGAAGGTGAGTGACCTCCAAGTTTTCAACCAAGGTACCAGGTTCATCTCACTGGAACTGATAAGTCAGTGGGTATAGCCTAAGGAGGGAAAACCAAAGCAGGGTGGGTTGTCACCTCCCCCAGGAAGTTCAAGGAGCCAGAGAACTCCATCTCCTAGTCAAGGGAAGCCATTAGGGACTTCTCTGGACACTCCAGCACTCAAGCTCAGATACTGCACTTTTACCACTGCCTTCACAACCTGCAGACCAGGAGATTCCCTCCAGTGCCGACAACACCAGTGTCCCAGGTTTCCAGCACAAAACTGACAGCTGTTTTAGCTACAGCAGTCTTTGTTTTTGTTTTTCTCATACCCCAGTGGCACCTGGAATGCCAGCAAGACAGAACCACCATTCCCCTGAGAAAAAGGGGGCTGAAGCCAGGGAGCCAAGCGATCTGGCTCAGTAGATCCCACCCCCATGAAGACCAGCAAGCTAAGTCCACTGGCTTGAAATTCTCACAGCCAGCACAGCAGTCTGAGCTCCACATGGGATGTTTGAGCTCTGAGTGAAGAGAGATGTCCACCATTACTGAGACTCGGGTAGGTGCTTCTAAACTTGCTTGTGTAAACAAAGTCATGTGGAAGTTTACACAGCAATTGGCATAGCCCACGGCAGCTCAGCAAGGCCTCTGCAGGCAGACTGTGATTAGACTCCCATCTTACTGGGCAGGGCATCTCTGAAAAAGGACAGCATCTGGTCAGAAACTTATAAATAAAGCCCCACCTTCCTGGGACAGAGCACCTGAGAAAAGAGGTGGTTGTGGGTTCTGCTTAAGCAGACTTAAACGTCCCTGCCCAGCAGCTCTGAAGGGAGCAATGGATCTCCCAGCACAGCACTTGAGCTCTGATAAGGGACAGACTGCCTGCTCAAGTGGCTCCCTGACCCCCATGTATCCTAAGAGACACCTCATACAGGAGAGCTCTGGCTGACATCTGGAGAGGGTACCCTTCTGGGACGAAGCTACCAGAGGAAGGAACAGGCAGCAATCTTTGCTACTCTGCAGCCCCTGCAGGTGATTACTAACCAAAAAAAGTCCAGGACCAGATGGGTTCACAGCTGAATTCTACCAGAGCTACAAAGGGGACCTGGTACCATTCCTTCTGAAACTATTCCAAACAATACAAAAAGAGGAAATCCTCCCTAACTCATTTTATGAGACCAACATCATCCAGATACCAAAATCTGGTAGAGACACAGCTAAAAAAGAAAATTTCAGGCTAATATCCATGATGAACATTGATGTGAAAATCTTCAACAAAATACTGGCAAACCAAATGCAATAGCACATCAAAAACCGTATCCATCACGATCAAGTTGGCTTCATTCCAGGGATGCAAGGCTGCTTCAACATACGCAAATCTATAAACATAATCCATCACATAAACCAAAGGCAAAAACCACATGATTATCTCAATAGATGCAGAGAAGGCCTCTGACAAAATTCAACAGCACTTTATGCTAAAAAAAAAAAAGAAAGAAAATAATGCATACAGTAAAATGCTATATAAGATTTTAACACATGCCAAACAATACTGTATATCACATACATGTGTGGAATAAAAAAGTACAAATAAAAAAAAAGCTCTCAATAAACTAGGTATCAATGGAATGTATCTCAAAATAATAAAAGCTATTTACAACAAAGCCACAGCCAATATCATACTGAATGGGCAAAAACTGGAAACATTACCCTTGAAAACTGGCACAAACAAGGATGCCCTCTCTCACCACTCCAATTCAACATAGTATTGGAAGTTCTGGCTAGGGAAATTAGGCAAGAAAAAGAAATAAAGGGTATTCAAATAGGAAAGGAGGAAGTCAAATTGTCTCCATTTGCAGATGACAGGATTGTATACTTAGAAGACCCCATCGTCTCAGCCCCAAATCTCCTTAAGATGATAAGCAACTTCAGCAAAGTCTCAGGATACAAAATCAATATGCAAAAATCACAAGCATTCTTATACACCAATAATAGACAAACAGAGAGCCAAATCATGAGTGAACTCCCATTCACAATTGCTACAAAGAGAATAAAATACCTAGGAATACAACTAACAAGGGATGTGAAGGACCTCTTCAAGGAGAACTAGAAACCACTGCTCAAGCAAATAAGAGAGGACAAAAACAGATGGAAAATCATTCCATGCTCATGATTAGGAAGAATTAATATTGTGAAAATTGCCAGACTGCCCAAAGTAATTTATAGATTCAATACTATCCCCAGTAAACTACCATTGACTTTCTTCACAGAATTGGAAAAAAAACCCACTTTAAACTGCATATGGAACCAAAAGAGAGCTTGCATAGCCAAGACAATCCTAAGCAAAAAAACCAAACCAAACAAAAACCGAAAACCAAAAAACCAAAAAACAAAACAAAACAAAAATAAATGAAAAAACAAAACAAAGCTGGAGGCAACAGGCTACCTGACTTTAAACTATACTACAAGGCTAAAGTAATCAAAACAGCATAGTGCTGGCACCGAAACAGAGATTAGACCAATGGAACTGAATAGAGGCTTCAGAAATAATGACACACATCTACCACCATCTGATCTATGACAAACCTGACAAAAACAAGCAATGGGGAAAGGATTCCCTATTTAATAAATGGTGTTGGGAAAACTGGCTGGCCATATCCAGAAAGCTGAAACTGAATCCCTTTCTTACATCTTACACAAAAATTAACTCCAGATGGATTAAAGATTTAAACATAGAAGCTACCACCATACAAATCCTAGAAAAACCTAGACAATACCATTCAGGACATAGGCATAGGCAAGGACTTCATGACTAAAATATCAAAATCAATGGTAACAAAAGCCAAAATAGACAAATGGGATCTAATTAAACTTAAGAGCTTCTGCACAGCAAAAGTAACAATCAGCAGAGTGAACTGGCAACCAACAGAATGGGCAAAAATTTTTGCAATCTACCCATCTGGCAAAGGGCTAATAACAAGAACCTACGAAGAACTTAAACAAATTTAGAAGAAAAAAACAACCAACCTTATCAGAAAGTGGGCAAAGGATATGAACAGACACTTTTCCAAAGAGGACATTTATGCAGCCAACACACATATGAAAAAAAGCTCATCATCACTGGTCATTAGAGAAATGCAAATCAAAACCACACTGAGATACCATCTCATGCCTGTTAGAATGGCAATCATTAAAAAATCAGGAGACCACAGATGCTGGAGAGGATGTGGAGAAAAAGGAATTCTTTTACACTGTTGGTGGGAGTGTAAATTAGTTCAACCATGTGAAAGACAGTGTGGTGATTCCTCAGGGATCTAGAAATAGAAATACCATTTGACCCAGCAATCCCATTACTGGATATATACGCAAAGAATTTTAAAATATTCTGTTATAAAGACACATGCACACATATGTTTATTGTGGCACTGTTTACAATAGCAAAGACTTGGAACGAACCCAATTGCGCATCAAAGATAGACTGGATAAGGAAAATGTGGCACATATACACTATGGAATACGATGCAGCCACAAAAAATGATGAGTTCATGTCCTTTGCAGGAACATGGATGAATCTGGAAACCATCATTCTCAGCAAAGTGACACAAGAACAGAAAACCAAACACCACACTTTCTCACTCTTAAGTGGATGCTGAACCATGAGAACACATGGAGACAGGAAGGGGAACATCACCCACTGGGTCTTGTCAGGGGGTTGGGGGTCTAGGGGAGGGATAGCAGGGGGTGGGGAGATTGTGGGGGGATAACATTAGGAGAAATACCTAATGTAGATAATGGGGGGATGGATGCAGCAAACCACCAAGGCATGTGTATACCTATGTAACAAACTTGCACATTCTACATATGTACCCCAAACTTAAAGTATAATAATAAAAAAATAAAATAGCATTTGGGATGTATATGGCTAAATGAAAAAAATTAACTAGAAAATTGTGTCCATACTAGTATTCTACACGTTGAATACATAGAGATTTATGGGCAGAGTCTAGGTATATGCATATGGCACTGGTGTTGAGCTATAATTTTGAGAGTTGGGCTTTTTATTCTCATTTTCACTTATCAATGAATTTTGAGCTCCCTGTTTCCTGCAGTCATCTTTGTAAATGCTTCGGTGTGGATCACAAAGCCCTTGGCCTTCTGGCTTCAACTTCTGTTTTCTTGCCTCCAGCCTTGCTGGCAATTCCACCATCACCCATTTGTTTCAGCTCCAACGCTGCTGCCACCGCTGCTGCTGATCCGCACACCCGCTACACCTGCTCACTTGTCTGGGCCTGGCACGTGCTCTGTTCTCTACTCAGAATGCCCTTCCACTCTGCCACAGTGCAGCCACCTCTCCTCAGCTTTCAGGACTCAGCTTTCCTTTAATCTCATTTGGAATCCTCACAGACATTGGTTCCTAGTGATGGTCCATGTAGCCAACTCTTCATTTCAACTGCTTCTAGTAACTCAAAGCAACTGTCTACCACATAAGTATCTAATCTCTGCCCACCTCCTTCTGACATCCATATTCTCCAGCTCTGAGGCAGCTTGCCATACTGTGGGGCAGGTTCCTTCATTCAGCACTTACTGCACACACACCATGTGCCAAGTGTGGTTCAGGCACTGTGTTAGGACACAGCTGTGTTCCTTCACTTTGTGGAATTTTAGTCTAGTTGTGGGGTAAAGAGGATTAGAGGTTGTGCAGTAGGGAATAATCAATATTGAGATGGAAGGAAGGACAAGCATCTGGGGAAGCTTTGAAGAGGGGCCTAACTCAGAACCGAACATTAGAAAGCCATTTCTCTCTGATTGATTGAGTCATCATTTACTGAGGAACTATCTGGTTACATAGATAAATCAGAGATAGTCTCTCCCAGAAGAAGTCCACATTTATGACACTGCAGAAAAATAACTGAATCAAGTTAAAACTACTCTGTCCTCTTGAGATGGATAGCCCGTAGAACAAAGAGTTGGCCCTTTACCACTGGGAGACCCAGGAGGCCTTCTTGGAGTAGGCAGCTTGGTGCCGGACCTTCACAGATAGATATGAGTAAGAAGGTAATTTCAGGTAGCAAGCACAGTATGATCAGACGCCTAGAGGTTGGAATGCATAGGCAGGTAGTGAGGTAGTGAGTAACATATGGTAAAGGAGGAGAGTGGGAAAGAAGGCAGAGTGATATCAGGACCAGTCCATCTAGGACTTGAACATTTTCAGGTCCCCACATTGGTTCTGCTCTGCTGAGAACTATGTTGCCTCCTTTGCCGAGAAACAACAGGCCTCAGCTCCCTAAAACCCCTATCTCCACTTAAGTGTGTTCAATTCATAGCACCTTGGTGAGCCCCTTTCCATGCAGTCCCTTACCTTGACTGTTCCTACTTGTCCCATTCCTATGCAGGGATAGCAGTGCGAGGGAATGGTCTGTGGCCCTCCTCAGCCCTCTTGCTGTTCCTTTCTCTTCTTCCTCTGTCCCTCTACACCTGCGGTGTTCAATCTTTTGGCTTTTCTAGGCCACATTGGAAGAAAAAGAATTGTCTTGGGACGCTAACACTAATGATAGCTGATGAGCTTAAAAAATTGCAAAATAATCTCATAATGTTATAAAAAGTTTATGAATTTGTATTGGGTCAATTCAAAGCTATCCTGAGCTACATGTAGCCCCACGAGCCATGGGTTGGATAAGCTTACTCTACACACCTGGGCTGACCATCAAGGTGTGCCAGGATTTTGCTGGGTTCTGGGACACAGGGAGGGGATTCTATGCTCACCTCCAAGGAGCTCACAGTCCAGGTGTGTGGGAGGAGAGCCAGGAGGTCAACACATACTTTTCAATGTGCAACTTAGACACCAGTCCCCTCACCTAGAGGACAGTGTACAGGCTGCCTGCCTTGTGTATACCCACAATTGTCAGGTTTCCTGGTCCTAAATCACCTGTTGTGGAAATTCCCTGAGTCTTGGGGAAACTTAGCTTAATTGGTCCCCTATACCAGCAGACCTCAGCCTCAGCCATCCACCCCAGCAGAGTGAGTTCTTTTTCTGCAATCTGACATCTTCTCAAATTCCTGCCTGCATTTGTCACAGACTGTGAACTCCTCACCACCTGGATTCCTCAGATATGGGTATCTGTGCTCCCAGGCAAGCTCAGGGCCAGAGAGGATAGCATTGAGTGACTGGGCAGGCAGCCTCTAGAAGCTTTGTTCTTTGAGAAAAGCCGAGGTTTATGGGGTAATCAGCCTGGAGACAATCAGGCATTGCCCTCCACATGTAGGGCTGCCAAGACATACTTGGTATCTGCAGAAGGAGGGAATGGGTGATAGAGCTGAGGACCAGCAAGATGGGCTTCATGGGAGGAGTGAGCTCCTCGTGACTGGAACAAGCTGAGACCAGAGAGGTAGGCTGGGTGTTCCTTCGAGGGCACATGTTTGTTACAAACCAAGGCTCTTCTATATGGGCTTTGTGATCAGGGTCTCAGAGCCCCATCCCTCGTTGCCCTCCCACTCTCCCACTGAGTTCCTCCCTACCTCCTGGTTGTGTCCGAAGAGCCAGTGGGAGGGAGGGCATGGGAACTCCTGGAGGACTTTGAGCAGCCACTGCCTGTGCAGGTAGAACTGGGCTACCTTGATCAGCAGCAGAAGCAGGATGAGCAGGGAGGCCAATTGGAGGATCCTGGAGACATCACCCAGGAGTCTGCTGGGGCTCAGCACAGAGACACTCATGGTGCAGCACCTTCTGGATCTCTGAGGAGCCCTACCTGTCCCTGACCACCCCTGTCTACCAGTGCTCAAATCTGGGAGGATTGTCCCGCCCACTTGTGGGGAGTGTGAAGGGGGAGGGCAGAGCTTGAACTTCAGAGTTCAGAGTCAGTTGACATTGAATGATCCACCTAGGGGAAGAATGGGAGAAAAGCTTCAGCAGCTGTCAGTGGCAGTGGCCCTGCCACTACCACATTCCCCTGTCCACGTACCTCACAAATATTTAACAAGCATCTACTGTGTGCCAGGCAGTATGCTAGGTGTGTGGGCACCACTGCAAGGAAAACAGACTTGAATGTTGACCTCAAGGAATTTGCATTCTGCTTTACTACATTGCAATAATGCTCATTCAGTAGCATTTTTTTGTTGCATGTTCAAAGGAAATTCTCAACATGATATATACATTTAAACTTAACGTAACCAAGTCCTGAATAATTACTTTTGTCTTATTGCAAATCTAATTTTATTTACCATAAAAACCTCTTTCATTTGCATATTGGGTGAGGAGTGGGAATTATGTCTTTCTACTAACTGAATGATGATATGGACAAACAGATGGTAACATGGTAGTACTTCAAGTACTTTATTTTATTCCATTGGGGAGACTGGTCTTATATCCATGGCATGATTTTTTTTTCTCAATTCATATACATGACAATTAAAAAAATTTATACATAATGTTAGTTTTGATTTTTTTTCCCCTTTGATAGGTCTACCTTCTCTACCAGAGAAGGCCCTACAGCAATTTTAGTCCTACTTCAGTCTAGTACTGTAGCCACAGCAGAAGCATGTTTACGAATTCTCTTTCATCCTATGAAGAAAATTATTATACAATCAGAACTTTGTACTCTGTTTAGGAGCCCTGATGACCTTGTTTAGTACACTCTGTACTGAACAAAAATTAATATTTAAAAATGATTGCTGGCTGGGTGAGGTGGCTCACGCCTGTAATCCCAAAACTTTGGGAGGCCCAGGAGGGTGGATCACGGGGTCAAGAGTTCAAGACCAGCCTTGCTAAGATTGTAAAACCCCTTTCCCCATTGCTTATTTTTGTTGACTTTATTGAGGATCAGATGGCTGTAGGTGCATGGCTTTATTTTTGAGTTCTCTATTCTGTTCCCTTGGTCTATGTATCTGCTTTTGTAGCAGTAGCATGCTGTTTTGGTAACTGTTTAGTATAGTTTCAAGCTGGGCAATACGATACCTCCATTTTGTTTTCTTTGTTTAGGGTGGCTTTGGCTATTTGGGCTATATGAGCATTCTTTAAAGCTTTATTATTGTTGTCCTCTGGATTCATTATTCACACTTTAGGTGATGAGCAATATCTTTGAAAATAGAACTATTTAAACCTCTTTCTTTTATCATATTCTAACTAAATATAGAAAGACTTTCAGTAACACGGATACCATTCCCGACCAGCCTCTATTCTAAGAAAGGACAACAGAAAAAGGGCCAAACTTTTCCTTGTCGCCATGTGTTAAATAGATGACATTGTCTTAAACTAAATAATAAGCATTAAGTTAACCCCAACAGGACTTGTTAAGGTCTGGATTTGTGTCGAACTTAACATGAATTACCCAAAAGGTTTTAAGACATACACAGTTTTGAAAAGGACCTAGTGTTATTGCTCTCTATAGACTGCTACAGCCAATTGCCAAAGCTTTCAAATGGTTTAATCAAGACTCCTTATTATAACCATCAGCTTCCTCTATATTATTACTTATCATTGCATCAATCAATCTCTTACCTTGACATTAATAATATAATTCTTTTCCCTATGGCATATCCATTAATTAATATAAACCGAGGGACAGTATTTATTTTATCAGTATCAAGTCTAGCCATATGTTTCATGCTAAGAGGTGAATGAGCTTCAAATTCAAAATATATTTTCTTCAATTAGGGCATGAGGAGCAACAGCACAATTTCATATGAAGTAAGTTTAGCAATCACTTTACTATCATTATATTAATAAGTATGTCCTTTACACTATCTATGCTTACAATTACCCAATCATACTTATGATTATTTTTACATCATCTCCATTTATCATGAGGAGATTTATTTCAGCTTAGAAGAAACTACTTGAGTGCTCTAGTTGACTTAACTTAGGGAGAAACATAATTTGTGTCAGGCTTTCATGTTAAATATGCAGCAGAACCGTTGGCCTATTCTTATCCAAATAAGAAGAATACTTCTAAAACAACTTTATTTTCAGGGTCATTTAATAATCTTTATATTCCAGAAATCACACAATTTATTTTTATTATTAGGGCTTTACTGCTAAAAGTTTTATTTCTATGAGTGTGGGCATAATACACACCATTTCATTATGGCCAACTCATACATTTCTTGTGAATGAAATTGTTACCACTAACCTTACCCCTATGTGTGTAACGTGTGACATGTGTCAGTCTCCATTATGTCATCAACTATTCCATTACGAACATGAAAAAGAGTTTTAAGCTTATGATATATAGACGAGATTTTGCACTTGAGCTGATACTGTAATGAATTGAGGCTTTTGGAATGTTGGGATGAGGTAAATGCATTTTGATGGGGAGTGGCCATCTTTGAGGGTCGGTAGGAAGATTATAGTATGCTAGATGATGACCTCCAAAGATATCAAGTTTAAATGTCTAGAACCTCTAAAGGATATCTTATTTGGGAAGTGATGTGATGAAAATAAGGACTAAGATGGGGAGATTATCCTGAATTATCAAGGTGAGCTCTAAATGTAGGAGATATGACACACACAGGGAAGGCCATGCAAAGATGAGACAGAAAAAGATTTGAAGATGCTGGCCTTGAAGATGGGAGAGACCTAGCCATAAGCCTAGGAATGTTGGCAGCCAGCAGTGGCTGGGGAAGGCAGGCAATAGATTCTCCCCTAGAGCTGTGGAGGGAGCACAGCCCTGCTGACACTTTGGTTTCAGCCAGGATGTTGATTTTGGACTTCAGCTCTCCAGAACAGTGAGATAATGAATTTCTATTTTTATTTTCTCTCTCTCTCTTAGTCTCTCTCTCTCTCTCTCTCTCTTTCTCTGTGTTATAGACAGGGTCTTCTTTAAGTTGCTGAGCTGGTCTCAAGTTCCTGGACTCAAACAGTTCTCCTGCTTCAGCTGTCAGAGTAGCTGGGACTACAGACTCGCACCACTGTGCCTGGCTCTCATTTTAAATCACCACGTTTGTGGTAATTTGTTACAGGAGACCAAGAGTTGTGGTAGTAGAGGTGAGGTGTGCTGTAATAAGTACCCACAAATATAGAATTGGGTTTGGAATTGAATAATAGGTAGAGATTGGAAGATTTTTGAAGTGCATTGATAAGAAAAGCACAGACTGCCTTAAATTCACTACTGGCAGATATATGGACCTTAAAATCCTTCTTATGAGGGCTGCAAGGAAACTGAGAAGCATGGATGAAAAGACTTCTATTGGTTTGGAGAATACTTACATTATCATAACAGAATGTTAGTAGGAAAAGTAACATTAAAGGTTCTTCTGGTGAGGACTCATAAGGAAATGAGGAAACATGTTATTTGAAACTGGAAGAAAGCAATCCTTTTACCTATATTGGATATTACTTGTCACAGCTCCAGAATCTTAGAGAAATTTTATCAAAGGATGGCTTATGCCCAGCGCCTCACAGGTACCTAAGTTAGATTACTTAGGAAATACAATAATACTTTTGAGCTTGGATATTTAGATGACATTTTGGAGTTGATGCTATAAAGAAGTGAGGCTTTTGGGTTGTTGGGAAGAGACGAATATATTTTACATGTGATTGGATATGAGTCTTTGGGAAACAGAGGGCAGACTGTGGAAAGCTGAGTGGTGATTCCCAAAGATATCAGGTGCTAATTCCTGAAACTTGTCAATGTTATCTTATTAGAAAAACTGTCTTTGAGGATGTGATTATGTAGCAGGAGCAGCCGTGGGAAAGGATCTCTCAGACACCGAATCCAGGAGGAAGGAATTTATTTGCAGCTGGTAGCTTGGTGGCATATGTGCCCAACAGCCAAGCTCCCCTAACAAAGGGAGGTTCAGCCTTTATATAGGCTTATACTTTAGATGTTACACGTGGAAGAATCTTAGGTTCATAGTTTTTTTAGGGCTCACATGTGAAAAGGTTTCTGTTTACAGTTTCAGGAATCACATGTGAAAGGGTTCTGGTTTACAGTTTTAGGACTCACATGTGAAAAGGTTTCTGTTTACAGTTTCAGGAATTACATATGAAAGGGTTCCAGTTTACAGTTTTAGGACTCACATGTGAAAAGGTTTCTGGTTTGATCTTGTTTTAAGTAAAAATAGTGCCTTCTGAAGTTTCCCCGAGGCCTAGCCTGTTGTTTTGAGGAAGGATATTCAGGAGGCGCCAGCTGGCCTTCTCTCTCTTCTATTGAGATGCACAGTGGATGTGACAGAGAGGGGAGGGAATCCCAAATGCCTGGGTCTCCCTCCTCAATTATATTAAAGATTGTGAGGCTGGGAGATTAACCTGGATTATCAAGGTGAGCCCTGAATGAAATAGTTTATTTCTCCTGATAAAGGGAAAAGAGGAAGATTTGACACATACATGGGTGAAGGCCATGTGGAGACAGAGCAGAGAGATATTTGAAGATGCTGACTTTGAAGAATAGAGTGATGTGGCCACAAAGCAAGGAATGCCATCAATCAACAGGACCAGAAGTGGAAGGGAACACATTTGCCCCTAGAGATTCCGGGGAGAGCGTAGTTCTACTACTACTTTCATTTCGGCCCTGCAAATCTGATTTCAGACTTTGGCCTCTAGAACTATGACAGAATATGTTTCTATTGTTTTAATCTAACAACTTCTGCTATTTTTTTTTTCACAATAGCCCTAGAAACCTAAAATGGGTGGGATCATAAACACTTCTCTGAGTATCTCATAGAATTATTTACTTGTTCACTCATTTATTTATTCAAAAACAAAGGCTTTTTTTTTTTTAACCTCATGGTTTGGTACCTAAAGGCAGAAAAATAAATTATTGTGTTAAAACATTATAGAGGGTGCACTGAAGGAATAAATGTGGGCTTGGGTCATTCAGAGAAAGAGAAAATAAGTAAAGAGGTCTTTAAGGAGAAATAGGAATTTACCTGTTGGTAAATACTAGGGAAAAAAAAAGCACTGGCAGATTCATGGAGATCATACATGAAAGAGCAGAAATGGGACAGGCTCGTCTTGAAATTACCACTCCTTTCACTTTTTTCCATAATTATCTTTGAGTCATACC